AGGTTTATTTGGTATCATTCCAGATTCTTTATCAAACCCCCTAATGTTAGTTAAGATGTCTGATACGCTTAAAAGCACACTAATCTGCAGCCCCCCTATCTATCCCTCCCAGCTGAGGTCTGTGCAGGGCATGCCAGGCCACTGGTTCTGAAAGACCTGCAGCAGATGTGTTGTAACACATGGTCGTGGTGCAAGCTCAAGGGCCTTTTGTTCTCAAGCCACTGCATAGCACACATGAAGCAAATTTCTATGTGACAACAGCTGTTAAATCATGTTTTTGTTGCAAGCAAATCAGCATGTATGGGGATGTTGTACAGAGGATCATTCGGTGAACTGATGGTAACTGGCAAAGCATACAGGCCGTGTGCTGGTGGATGGGATTGATATAGTGACTGTCTGAGTGCAGTGGATTACTGGAGTGGGCTGATGGGGAGGTTGTAGCGCAAAAATGTAAAACCAATGGCAGAAGGGAGATTTTTGTTTAAACAGAAAAGAAGATGTAGGCACATCCCCTAGGTTTTGTGGTCTACAGCCAGATTGACCTTTGACAAAGGAGTTACAGGGAGTCGTGGCAAAAGATACCTATGGTGTGAGCTTTCATTTATAGTGCAATGACAGCTTAAGAGGCACTAGAGGTGTACAAATGTATAACCAAAGAAAGGAGTTTCCAATAATTAAGGCAACTTCTGATAAACTTTCAGGCTTAAATTAACAAATTCCAGCTAGTCCAACCCACGCCCTTAAGTTAAGCCCTTCAGGTATGGATTCAATATCATTTATTTATAGATAAATGTACAGATTATTTGGTTGGTTGGTTGAACAGATACAGATAATGGTTGCTCATCCGTAGTGTTAATCCACTAAAAACTGATGCATATGAATATAAAGAAAAATGTGGTAATGCTCAGCAAAATAAGTTAGGGAAACCCTTAATTAAATTAATTAATTAAAACTTCTGAATGAGAACCAGCACTGTGACACAGTCCATTTGCAAGTCTCATCCTGCTTTGTGTATCCTTTTCCTAAATCAGATCAAAGACAGTTGGTTTCAGTCTGATTCAGAATGCAGTCTTGTCTTTACCTCTTTCTTTAACACCATAATCCATCTTTCACTTTGTGTGTAGAAGCAGCTAAATGACATACCCAGACATGTATCTTAAAATGACACCCTTAAAACACACACACACACACACACACACACACACACACACACACACACACACACACACACACACACACACACACACACAAGGTTGCCAATCATTGGCTGCTCATCTCCGGTTGGCCTTAGATATGTTTGTGTGACTGTGTGTCATGATTTTATTTTTTGAGAACAATAGTGAACTAGTAATTAACCAATGGTGACTGGATGATTACACATTAACCTACTCTCAAACTATCCTGACTCAAAATCACAAGAAATGTAACGTGTGTGTACAAGAGTGTGTGTGCAGAGTTGCATATTTGAATGTTTTGCATGTAACACAAGGTCAAGGGTATGACATGTTGAGGCAAATGAGGAGTGTGTGTTCAGAGAATACTGTCTGTGTGTGTGTGTGTGTGTGTGTGTGTGTGTGTGTGTGTGTGTGTGTGTGTGTTGATCAACTGGTTAGGTGACACAGTGTGTGTCTGGAGACACACCGAAAAGACACAGCCTGCTCAGCAGATAAGTGAAATGTGTGCCCCAGGGTCTCGTAGAGCAAACCAGTGTTTTAAGTGTTTGCACTTCAGTCACCTCACGTCCACATTAACCCTGCCAGAGAAGTGTAGTAACCAAATGTGTCCATGTCCTTTAAAATGAACAGAGGTAACGAGAGAACAGTGCCAGTTAAAGAGTTGAAGTAATCTGGCTGCAAGAGAAATTGTGCAAAGTTCTTTACATGAGACATTAGTATACAGGAGTACACAGACTACACAGACAGCAGATTTGGTTAGGGATTTTTTTTTTTGGTGGTGCACCAGCACAAAATGTAGGTGCACCGAAATTTTTCATTGCGTCGCCTTTAACGCCATAAGGTCACCTTTTTATCACTCTCCATAACTTTCACATAATGTGAATGATTTTTAAACGAGAATAAGGTGTAGAGGAATGCTTGTCTTTATTTGAAGCACAATTATATATAAAAAGAAAAATAAAGTGTTTAAAGTGCTTCACTGAGCTGAAATTGAAACTAAATTTCAAACTAAAACACTAAGCAAAATAAAACATTTCCAAATAAAAGTTTTATGCGAAACTTTGTTGACCCGCTCACGAACGCACTATTTCCGGCCATATTCTGACTGCACTCCTGACAGTACACGCAGTGCATTGCGTTACGTCCTTTGTTGTACCTCAGCCAGGGAAATTGTTTCAGCCAGTCCTGGCTGAAGGAATATATTTTGGCCTTTTTAATTTGGGTCTCGGAGCCGGGCTTTATCCCTCTAACTCCGTTGTCTCCTCCTCTGGTTCCGAGTCTGATGCTGTCGCCGAAGGACCGGGGCTCAGCAATTTTTAAACACACACAACTTAGCGCGGTGAACAGGACCACAGCCAATCAGAGGCAAAGACCCGCCCGAGCTCTGTCTCTTATTGGTTTAGAACACGATATGATCCTACCATGAGTGTGTGAGTTCGGTCACAGGAGAACAGAGAGATGATGCGCCTGCAAAATAAATGTATGTTTTCACCCGGGCAGCGCCAGGTGCACCAGTGCGACCTCGAAAAATTATTAGTCGCACTCTTAAAAATTTTGGTCGCACTCTGGAGCCCTGCAATTATTTTCATTATCGATTAATATATCGATCATTTTGTCGATTAATCCATTAGTTGTTTGGTCCAGACAATGGTGAAAACTGTTTCCCAGTCCTCAAATGTTTTGTTTTGTCAACATCCCAAAGATATTCAGTTTAGTGTCATAGAGGACTAAAGAAAGCAGAAAATATTAATCAGAACAATTAATCAACGATCAAAATAGTTAGAGATTTGTTTAATAGTTGACAACTAATAGATTAATACTTGCAGCTCTATGTGTGAGGTAAAACGCATCATTTCTTAACAATAAATTTAGATACACATACACACGTCATATTGATCTTGAAGGTTTTGAAACTGTATTGTAACAACTGGTGAGTAAGAAACCACATTTAATGTGGATGGATCACATCTGGATGGACGCTTTAGAAATGTTCAGACATTTTAGGAGAAGCAACCACTACGTTCTTCCAGTTTGGCCACTGAAAGACCAGTGAGTGCTGCATTTGTTCAGTCAAGTGTAGAAAGGACAAGGCTGACGACCTTCTATATTTTATTATTGTCAACAAAGGCCAACAGTGTTAGACACATAGTGCCACGGTGTGCCTCACTGATTTCTACTGACAATACTTGTTAGTAGGATCAGTACATTGATGATTTTGGTCTTTTGGTTTGTCTACTTCACACATGGTTTCATGGACGTTATAGCAATTAGAGGCGAGAAGGAAACACATTGTTTCTCGAATAAATTATGTTTTTCTCTGAGTTTGAACATGGTTGAAAACATTTGGGATAATGTACAAACACAAAGTACAAAACTCAAACTATATAATATAGGTATAGCATTTTGAGACATTTTAATGTGGAAATGTTAGACATTATATCTTTAAGTCAGAAGGGCATTCTAGACAATTGGTTTGGACTATAATTTACAAATCTAAGGCAAAGGAAAACACTTGAGATGAGAAGAGACAAGAAGGAACACTATGCATGTTTATACGGGAATTCCCTGTATTGTCTTACATCCTTCAAAGGTCAAAGGTCAAGATATATAAATAAATAATATAGAACAGTGGAGCTGGGTGTGTTGGCAAAGTTGAACGGGACTTATGTTAGTGAACAGCAGTCTGTGGACACCATGCCCCCTCTGGGAATATGATTATTAAGCCACTGTTGTCACTGAGTGTGCTCACTGCACAGTATTCCTACAATAAAGCTCCACAAACGAGTTGGTGTCAGTCTGAGTAACACTTCAGGAGCGTGTATGCTTCATAACAAATAATTTGAGCCTCTGTCATCCAGTTGAAGGACAGTTGGATGGTGTCTCAAACCACTAGACCAATCTGCCACCCTGCGATCGCCAAAGCTAAAAGATGGGGTTTGGGTTATGTGCAGAAACTGCTGACAGTGAGATGCGACCCCAGGCGTTCTGCTTATTTGAAACAGCTGGCTGGATGCATGGCCCACAAAGAGAGGTTATGAGAAGACATAAACAGTTCACCCACCAACACCATCCGCCTGATTCAACCACAACAGCTTCCTGGCTTCCCCCTCGCTGGCATACCCTCCGACCAGGTCCTCAACACTATACCCTGGCCTGGGAAAAAATAGTCCTGGCTCCAATTTCACATTGTAATCAAAACACTGGGCTTTGTGGGATCGCCCAGAGGATCAGAGCCTGGCAGAGCAGTGGGACAGGGAGGAGGAGGACTTGGACAGGGAGGAGAATCAAGGAAGGGAGATCACGCATTAGTTTATGTAACCAAGGTCAGCTGGAGGAAAAACACAATAATCCTTTGCGAAGGCGAAAACAGCAAGAGCACAAGAGAGGAGGGCTGACGGAGGGGAGGGAAATATGAAAACAAACAGATAAAAGTCACAGTGGGGAGGCCTCCGTTTGCGTGGCCGGAGCTTCTGGTTTGGCGTGGGGAGGAGTAATTGGGAGCAGCCGCTGACACTTTAAATAGCTGCTGAGTGTGGTGGGATGCGGTTTGGGGGGGGAAGTGGACTTGACACCGCAGGAGGAGGAAGCTCAAATCCCATGAGCCATTGTGTAGTTCAGATGAATTGAAGGAAATTGTTAAAAAAGCTTGAGTGATCGCCCCCTAGACATATCTGGCTATTTTGGTGTACAACATCAGCAATGGCCCAGAAGAAAAAAACCTTAATAACGATTATATCAGAATAAAAATGCGTTAGGGCTTCCTTTTCTTTGACTATTTATCATTTTTGCAGAAGATCAAAAAAGAAGAGAAATTTAGTTTCCTACCTGTGGAGGTTCAGCAAGCTTTTCCTGCCATTTCCAATCCTTCCATGGATCCCATGTGGATTCGTCAAAACCTGGAGGAGGACAAGCAGTTAGAAAATCCACAGAGAGCATTTTTACAGCTTTCTCCCATAAAAGCCAAAAGCATCACGTAAAGTCCAACACAAACGGCTTTTGAGGAAGCATGATGTGGAAACAGACGACGATAGCAGGAGTCAGCGGCTGAAGAAATCTCCTCCACAAAGTGAGCCTAAACCATTTGCAATGCCTGCCATGTCTTCTTAATTCAATGCTACGCAGGTGAGGGCCCCTGTTCTTCATACAAGGCAACTATTGTCCAGTACACAACAAAGACCACGCTAAACACGGTGAGGCAAGAGCACGCCACAAAAGTCACCTTTTAAAAAACAGATAAATGGCTGCCACAGAAAGAAAGCCTGGCACAACATGAAACATGAGCTCTCTGTAGCACTCTCATAACACTCAATACTACATACTCAAAGCTACAGCCTGGGTATGGTGAGGACATCACCGGGATTTAAAAAGCAGGGGAGGGAATAGCTGTCTTCTAGGGGTGATATTAACCCATAGTTTATTAACTGATGTGTATTAGGAAACCAATACGGCAGTCATGGATATGGTAAAATACCACATATTCAAACCAAAGTATGTGTGAAAGATGCCCAAAATCTCTCCAATTCCCCCCTCTCTTTGCAGCTAGCTAGCTATATGGTGGTGGTACCTAATCACTTCCGGCTTCCAAATATCCACTGAAACATTCCCACACTGAAAGAAATATCAGACCCTTCCATGTCCTAAATATTTACATTAAACTTGCAGTTGGCAGTATCAAATTATGCTCACATGTTTTCTAACATCTGGAGAACAAGATTTGTAGTACAGGGCATCTCTGCAGCTATACAGTACTTAATTATAATGCTGTTTGCTGCACATTTTACCTTCAAATGAACTGCAGCTTCTGTGATTTGCATATTGCACATGGCCATATTGTGATTTTGATAATATTTCAATTAAATATCAACTCCCTTTGAAGCTTTGGCAACCCCCAGGTTGGGAACCACTGTACCAAACTACTCTCCTGTATATTACCAAGCACAAACAAACTAGCTGCAAGGGCCTATGTCAGAGAGATTAAATGAAAGGAAATCTGGATCCTTCTCGGCTTTTGCAACTCTAATAAAGCCTTCTTTTGTTTGTTTTTCACCACAGGTGTCCTGAAGCTGTAAAGGCAGTATCATTCCCTTGCCACAGGCAATCCAAATGATAGTCATTGTCAAAGAATGCAGCCTTAACTTGAACGAAGCTTGGTCAAACCTTGAGTTTTTCCAATCTAGCCTCAAGGCTGTAAAAAAAAAAAAAAAAAAAGTGGTTTTAAACTGTATAGCCCTCTGCCCGCTGATCCCGCAGCTCCTACCTCTGCTCTCTGGCTGGGATGCGTTGGGTCTTGTTTTATGGCAGTTTCCTCCAGTGAGAAGCTGGCTCAGATGCAAGACTAACTAACTCATATATTGTGTCCAGTTATCTTTGAACCAGACTGCGAGGGTGAGGCCTAAAGCTGAGCTTCATGAGGGAAAGTTTGCAGATGAAAGTGCAGAGAGCAGTTTGGTGGAATTGTGTGCAAGATTGATGGGCTGATAGAAGTGACAGGAACAGGAAGGATTGCGGTCTTTGCTCCAATGTTTGTTCCCCTCAGTGAAGTTCCTATTCAAGGATTAAAGTTGACTTGTAACACACAATGGCTCATCACGTTGAGCAAACAAGGGTACAGAGGAGTTATCAGAGAGCTTGGAGCATCTTCCTTTTGAGAACATTAGTGGAAAAGTTCAGCTTTTGGAGACTGGAGGCAGTGAAGACATGTCCTACGGCCAATAGCTCTTTTGATGCCAGGCCAAATGAAGAAACCTTATGTAAGAGCACTCACATAACAGCCAGGCGCACTCTCTCACGTTAATGGGGCAACTTGAATCCGGATGCATTTGAACCTTAATGGCTCCCTTTGTAGCCATGAAAAGGGACTGTGCCAATTTCAGCCAGGCTTCCCATTGTTAGGAAATGTACAGTGACTCAACTGGTGGCATGGTGTGTTCGCTCACCCTTGCCAAAACTAGTGAGTCACTGGCCAAAAAATGCGTGCAAATAACCCTCCACCCCCTCCCCACTCCACCTCACAAGCTCTATATGAAGGGACATCACATCCAGGAGTCCTTGCAAACGTGTCTACTGCTCCAAATTCACAGGGACCTTTTGACTCGCCAAGAGGGAACGGACTGAACTCAAATCAGATTTTCTGTAAACAGGAGACGCGTCCTTTAAAGCAACTAAAACTATCCCAAGAAGGATTCTCGTGAGAAAACAGACTTCAAAAAGAGGCTGTTTACAGCCATTATAAAGTTTTAAAATTAGTCTGAGCTTTCACCCTCGACATGGCAGTGGTGGTGAATTTTGGTACACATCATAGCACCATAATGTTACTGGCTTCTTAATTTTGTCTGTTCAGTGGGGCTGGAGCATGCATATATCCCAAACACATCAAAAAACCCAGCTCTTCACAGGAGGAAATGACACAGCGTCACCAAAACCAACAGTGCCACCATTCCTGAGGTTGTTAAGCTGTCGGCCTTAAAACTACCATTGACAGTGTTCCTCTGGCCACGGCCGCTCTGTAATTAAATACCAGAACTTTCAGCTTTTTTCCACTCTGTTCCTTGGAAAATATATACAGGGTCTAAATACGACTCATGCCCTGCCCTCTCAGGCTCATTGGCAGGGCCGATGCCATCCTGCTTCATTCCTCAACCCACATCTGGTCATTCAGCCTCAGAATGAACAAAGGTTATACCAACAAATACCCAGCAGAAAAAGCAGCCTTGGTGTCAAACTGAAACTGAAATAGAGCTGTGGTTGAATTCCTGAGAGCCAGAGGTAAATATGTCACCGAATCCAAACATCAGAAATCTTCCTTGGAAATACTCTTCAGCAGCGTAAGCACAGGGATTAATCTTTTAACTTTATAGTGTACTAATGAGAGACTGGGCATCTATCTCTAAGCCTTAATGAGATAGAGGATGAACGCTTTCTAGCGACAGCCCGGTCATTATGTCTAATTGTGTTTTCACACTGAACATGACAAGCAGCATGCCAGCTCTGTGGCCAATTCATTCATTTGCGGTAGCATGTTTTCCAGAGACATGCAAAAAAAGGATAAACTCATCATGATAATCTGACAACAACACATGGCATGTGTGCCAATTCCCCCAACTCGTATTAGCCATGATTGATTTTTTTAAGTCAGTGGGGGAAACACACACAAAAGGGTCATCAGCTACGCCTCATCTGCCTACTTTAATTACCAACGCTTTTCCATCCGTCCTCGCTGCCTCATGCTTTCACTCCAGCAGTGAGGTTTTCTACTATGTGACAAAGAAAGCTTCTAACTAAAGCTGACTATAACTCCTCAATCCTGATTCACTTTGCAAGCTTAAAACACTGTTCTCTTCAATATACCTTAAATTGACTCAGGGGTTTAACACTTTCCGTCCAGTGTGTAACATTTAGGAGGATCTATTGTCAGAAATGGAATATAATACTCATAGGTATGTTTTCATTAGTGTGTAATCACCTGAATATAGGAATTGTGTTTTCATTACCTTAGAATGAGCTGTTTATATCTACAGAAGGAGTGGGTCACCATCCATGTCTGCCATGTTTAACAGACACATTTCTACAGTAGTCCAGAACAAAAGAAGCGCCATGACGACTCACCCTTGACACAAAAGACATGATGATGATAATGTCATGTGGACACTGTGGCTGCTTCAGCATAGCAGTGCTTTGAGCTAAATGCTATCTTCAGCATGCTAACATGATCACAATAACATTGTCAACGTTCTGGTTGTTTAATGTTTAGGTATAATGTTCACCGTGTTATCCACCTGGGTTTGGGGTGTTTGCATGCTAACATTTGCTAATTAGCACTGAAAAGAAAGTACAGCTGAGGCTGATGGGGATGTCATTAGTCTAATTTTGACCTAGATACAAAGATACGGGATCACAAATGTACAATTTATCCAGAGGGGAACATGAATGTCACAAGACAAAAAACAACAACAAATGTCAACCTCATGGTGGCGCAAGAAGAAAAGTCAGGAGATCACCAACAGTCCGTGGGCTTGCTCCTCTGGGGAAGTGGTGGACCATGCCACTAACGTAGCTAAAAATAAAATCGATGCTGTAATAAAACTGAAATTATGCTTTAAAGTTGTGGGTATTTTTTTTTTTTTTTTTTAAACTTTAAAATCCAGGGGTTTTGTAACCTAGTAACACTCGGTGCACAGGTTAATCCCGCATCGGTGCCTGAAATGAATGGGTCATTGCACATCATCTGACCTGGCTTTGCGAAATCCTTGCTGCCACTGAAGGATTGTTTTGGCTTTGGTAAACAGGCGTTGCCATTAAAAATAGGAATTTAATTTAATGTTGAGGTTTAAATTTGACCAACTTCCTCAGAGACGGGAAGATGGAGCAAGATTTTCAAGAGAGACAGAGAAAGAAAACAAGTTTGGGCTGGCCACAGACAGAACTTGCGTGGAAAGCTGAAACTGTATTATCTACTTATGTGATTCAATCTTGTGTAATTGTATATTAAAGCAGAACTGCAGTTGCAGACTAGAGTCTTAACTGTGATGAAAAGTGATTAACCTGTGACAGAAGCTTTATCTTAATAACTTAAATGTGGGTTCTCCTGTATGCAGGGGGCATCACTTGAAAGTACCCCTTCTCCCATCCTGTCTGCTTCACTCTCTCTGATTCACTCTCCCCAGGTTCAGCAACCTGCTGTGTCCCTGCCACGCCTGTCAGCCACTTTCACACATCTGCAGAGCTCACACAAAGTCAAAGACTACAACAGTGCTCAGAGTCAATCTGATTTAGAGGCAGCAGACAGCAGGTTTGTGTGGCCCGCAGCCACCAGCAATCAGTTTACCAAAGATGATGTCATGCTTAAATCATCAACAGCAGCCAGAGAAGCTTTCACCTGCAGCACCAAAAGCTGTGT